TAGGTTGGAGTCCTAGGGGTTCAGGGAGGGGTAGGGGGGAACAGGATATAGGAGAGCTAGCAGGGGAGCCCAGAGAATTTAGGGGCTCCAGCACAGGGTTGGAGGAGGGGGAGACTCAAGGGAAGAGACTGGAGGGGTGCAGAGAGGGGAAAGGAGGGGAGTCCAGTGGGATTAGGAGCCTAGGAGAGGGAATTCCTCCTAGACGTGGGGGGCAGGGAAGAATGGGGGTGATAATGTAGGAGGCCAAAGGGATGTGGGAGAGGAGAGAAGCCCAGGGCTTAGGTGGGAGTTCTCTGAATTGGCTGAAGCTCTGGAGGGAACCAGCAGGTTTCCTGAGGGACTGGGGGAGGAGAATGCCCTCCAAGCCAGGGGTTCTGTGGGAGGAATGGAGGGGTGGAGGCCCCCATCTGTCCTAGGTGTGGACAGCTTGTCTGTGCCCTTCCACACCCTGGCTGTCCCCAAGAGCTGGATGACCTCTGACCCACCACCCTGGCCTCTTGACAGTGTGCCCTGTGTTTGCTGGACCAGGGTCCCAAAGACAAAAGGGGTGAGTGGAGCCCTAGCTGTGGGATCCTCAGCCTGAAGGGCAACCTCTCCTGCCTCAGTTTTCTCTTCTGAAGAATGGGGATAGTACATAATATACCCCATGGATTGTTCAGGGAGGCATTGAAATCTACATTCCTTCCCTCAATGATTGCAGCCCTCTGATTTATTTATTTTTTTTAATTTTTTTAAATTTTTGGCAGAACCAGGGATTGAACTCAGACCCTTGCACTTGCTAGGGAAGTGCTTATTCCACTGAGCCATCTCCCCGGCCCTAGCACTCTGATTTATATGCTCAACATAAGAAGTCTAAATCTGATCAGTAGTAATTACTCGAGCACTCCTGGCAGCTTTACTAGAATTTCCAGGGTGATCTTTAACCCTGCCACAGCCACCCTGTGAATTCTCAGGGCTCAGACAGCTTCTGTGCAACATTAAAAATTCAGTGGGCAGCCAGATGTGGTGGCACCTGCTTGTCATCCCAGCACTGTGGGAGGCTGAGACAGGAAGGTCTCAAGTTAGAGCTCAAGTTGGGCAATTTATCAAGTTAACAGGACCCTCTCAATATGAAGTGGAGCTGTGGACGGAGCTCGGGGCAAATGCCAGTGCTAGCAGTGCTAGTTCAATCACTAGCGCTGCAAAAACATTTTTAAAAAATTCAGCGGGCAAGATAAAGAATGTTTTGAGGCAGCATTTTTTTAAAAAAAATCAAATGAACATAGAAAAAAAAAATCCACGGTGAACCAAATTTCAAAAGTATACATAAGAGAGTCAGCACTGCTGACTTTTCCTTGCGGCTCAGGATCCAGCCGAGACACTTCCTGATGCTGTCTGATGTTTTGCTTATTCTTTTTGTTTGGTTTTGTTTTTGAGACAAGGCCTCACCATGCAGTCCAGACTGGCCTTGAACTTGTGGTGATCCTCCTGCCTCTGCCTCCCAAGCACAGGGATTATTTAGCAGAGGAGCCAGAGCCTGGCCAGGATCTTGTCCTGTGCCTGGTGACTGGTGAGTCCCTGGGAAGCAGCAGAGTGTGGACAGGAGGCTGCAGCTCTTCTCAGGTTCAAGGCAGGCCAGTGAGAAGTTGCCACAAGTCACCAAGGTTCAGGCCTGCCCTCCAGACAGGGTGTCAGGATACTTGTGTGTGTTCCTTGTACGGTGAGGGTGACACACTTGTGGCAATGTCAGTTTTGGGCTGTGGGCAGGCAGGTGTGAAATGCACGCACACTCATGTGTGCATACGCCAAGGCATGCACAGAATGTCCCTTCACGCTGTCACCTGCTCACATCTACCCACGTGCTTCTCGGCACGGGGTTCAAACCCCAGCTTCACCCATTTCCCTTGGGCAAATCTCCCAACCTCCCTGAGCTCACTTTCCATGGGTGTCAAGGAGACACACACCTCCCCTTGAGCCACTTGGCCACCAAGAAGCTGTGTTCACACGCATGACAGCAAGACACAGACTCACGTGCACGAGGGCAGGTGAGGAAAGCTGGGCAATGTGGTGCCCTCCCTGTAAGGCAGGCTGCTCCACTGCTGTGAGTTCAAGGCCAGTCAGGGCTACATAGTGACTTTGTGGCTTCCTGAACTGCACAGTGAGACTCTAGCTCAAAACAAACAAACAAACAAACAAATTAGAACTATTGTGGGACTTGGTGGCACCCTGCGCCTGAGTGTCATGAGTTCAAGGCCAGCCTGAGCTACATAGTGAGTCCCTGTCAAAATATGTTCACACAAATACACGTTTAATAGAGCACTATATTACAGATATTATAGCCTAAAATGAATCATTTTAAGCACGCAGGTCAGTGGCATTTACAATGCCGTGAAATCATACTAATTCAGAGTTTCAAGTCACCACAGAAGAAGGGCTGGCTCCAGGAGCAGCACTCTGTCCCTCCCCCGCCCCGCAACCCTGAGGCCACTTCTTGCCTGGGATTCACCTATCCGAGGTGTTTCCTGTCCGTGGAGCCCAGACAGTGTGTCCTTGGTGTCTGGTGCCACCCCTTTGGGGCCTGGGTCCATCGCAGTTGGAAGCTGCTGGTGGCCCCGAGTGTGGCCCAGGAGTGTGCCTGGGACCCCAGCATTACAAGGACACTGTGAGGACAAAGATACACAGAGGCACTCACTGGTCAGACTCGCAGTTCACTTTTAGTTCATACTCGTGATCCCCTCCTGCTGTACACAGGCCCCAGGCCTGGCCCTGTCCACTCTGCCCTCACCTCTGTGCCCCCCCCAGGAAGCCCCGCAGCTGGGCACGGTGGAGCCTCTCCCTCCGCCCACCTCCCCTCCCCCACCTGCTCCCTTCACAATGACATTAACTCTGTGGTCGCTTCTTATCTTGCTTTTTGTTTGCTCAGTAGCCCAGGCTGAGCCCCCTGAGTGCTGAGATGACAGGTGTGCACCACCAGGACCAGCTTTATCTTTTCTTGTTATTTTCCTTCTGTGTTTGGTGCTGGGACCCAGAACGCAGGGGCTGGTGCCCGCAAGGCAAGCACTCGCTGCTGAGCCGCACCCCGGCCTCTCTTGCCCCTTCACGGCAGTTCTCAGACTTCTAGGTACACTGGCACCCCACGGGCACACTCAGTTGCCAAGTCTCAGGATGTGGACCTCTCTTCTAGACCCTGCGTCCCCTTTGCCAGGAAGGTGCAGGAGGAACCCAGAGGCACTGGGATAGCTTCCTTCTGTCTTCTGACGCAGTTCTGTCTTTTGTCGCAGGCCACATTCCTCTGCAAACCTCTGCAGGAACCCCCTTCCCTGAAGGCCCCCAGAACGCTACCCTTTCCAGACTCCCATCCTTTTCATGAGGTCTCCTCCACCAGGTGATTTTTTCCCCCCTCAGGACCTCTCTTCCCAGGGTGTGGCCCCTCTGCTCCCTTGTTTGGAATCTGGAAGGGCTCTCCCTAGGGTGCAGGAAGAGGGTGAGGAGGGAGGGGGGTCCTGCAGAGAACCTAGCCCTCTAGCGAGGCGAGTGCATCCTCCGGGACAAACAGCTTGACAGAACCCCAGGGAGCCAAGGCACCAGAGGACCACCCCACCCACCCAGCATGGCCCGTGGAAGCAAAAGTCCGAAGGCCACCCTTTCTGTTTCAAAGACGCTGGGTTCCCGCGGCCACACAGAGACATACCGCAGCCACAGCTGTAAAAGGGGCAGGGGTTTCCTTTCGCTTCCCTCTCTATTCTCCTGCATTGTTTCTATCTTCTTCCTCCACCTCCTCGGGACGCGGAACTGCCTAGGCCCTGGGGGAATGGTGGGGGCAGGGACCATCCCGAGTGAGGCTCTTGCGCACGCGCACATGCTTGCCGTGGGCGCGAGCACACACACACTAGGAACTCCAAACCTAGTATGACAGGCGTGAGCCCGTGGGGCGACATCTGTGAGGCGTACACCACAGGCGCACCATAAATGCCTCCACAGTATGTAT